AGCAGGTGCATAAGCAAATGTGGTGAAGAAAGCTGATGGTGCCCGGCTATCAAAAGATACAGCATCTAGGGTCTTAAAGGCTTGAAGATAAATAAGTGGCTATCTAGCTGAGAAAGAACAAAGTCCATATGGAGGAAGCACACCAGCCTGTGTGATCACGAGGTGTCGATGGGATCAGGCATCAGGCATCAAAGACCCAGAACAAAAAAATCTATCATTGTGAATGAGGGGAAGAGTGGAGTGGAGACCCAAAGCCCATCTGTAGGCAACTGGACATCCCCTTACAGAAGGGCCATGGGGAGGAGATGAGCCAGTCAGGATGCAGCATAGCAATTATGAAACTTACAACTTTCCTCTAGTTCTTAATGTTTTCTCCTCCCACCCCCTAACTAAAATGAAGCAAATTCTACCTTACAAATCTGGCTAGACCAGAGCATGTACATGGGTACAGATATGAACTGGAAACACAGGAAACCCAGGAGAGATAAACCCCTCAGAACCGATATTGAGAGTAGCAATACCAGGAGGGTAAGGAGAAGGTGGGGGAGAGAAAGGGAGAATTGATCACAATCATCTACATATTCCAGGGGGATATACATCCATCTCAGCGGGGTGGACAACAGAAAAGTGTGTGGAGGGAGACATCGGTCAATGTGAGACATAAAAAAATAATACTGTATCAATTATCAAGGGTTCATGAGGGAGGGAGGGTAGGGCAGAAGGGAAAAAATGAGAAGATGATACCAAGGGCTCAAGTAGAAAGAAAATGTTTTGAAAATGATGATGGCAACAAATGTACAAATGTGCTTGACACAATGGATGTATCTATGGACTGTGATTAGTGTTGTAGGAGCCCCCAATAAAATGATTTAAAAAAAACAACCAACCCATAGCTTAACAGTGTTGCATATGCTAATTAACCCCTAGTCCATTGACCCACCTCAGACTTGCTAGCAGTGGAGGAATGGCCCTGTCTCTGAGGTGGGGAGGGAGGCAGCCAAGTATTTAACACAGAGGAAGGAAATTTGGAATTTTCACCTTTTGTATTTTCTCATTACTCTTGTGTAAGTAAAACTGCGCTCATTGCCAGAATTATGACCTACCTGTAATTGGTAGTTAACATTTATGTGTAAGAAACAAACAAAACAACACTGAGATATTCAGAGGAGAACAAACGGAGACTGCATGACCAGAGGCTGAGGCTGCAGCGATATGTGCAGCTCCTGGAACACTGGAGGGTGGACGGCAGGAGGGAGGAGGGGGGTATGATGAAAAGAGAAGATAGCCTACGGAAAGCTGAGGCCAGGTGAAGCCTTTCCCCCTGATGTGGGAGAAGACTGTCCAGCAACTGCAGCGTGTTTATTTATCCAGGCAAAACTGCCTGAGCAATTGTATCACAAACTCGAGTGGAGGATGAAGCCAGGAACAGGGAGTATAACTGATCTTTTGCAGAACGTTGTGCTTCAGCAGTTTCACAGGGAACAAGAGGAGAAGTGTCTACTTTATCTTATGCCAAGGTCAGACTATCCAGTGCATTGGCTCCTTGGGTGGTTGAGCTGTCAACACCTTCCCGTTGGGCCTTGCCTCAACCATGAGAGGTGATGGTCCTGTTCTACTTGACCGAGGAGTAGACAGCTTCACCCCCAACGTGAGGCAAAAGTAATCCTCTTATATGATTATATATATACTGTGTGGGACTAGAGTTCAGACAGAAGAGCTTCTACAGCCAGTCCTTCTCTCTTTTAATGATACTTTTAAGCTACCCTACAGACAATGTTTTAGAAACAAATCCAATGCTGTCTTGTGAGCCACGGTTCCTTCTTGGGACCACATTTCCCAGAATCCATGACACCTTGGAAGGTGATTTCACTTTTGTTGGAGAGTAAACTAGGGTAGGTGGCCTTTATGAACACACTTCACATTATTGTCTTTAAACCTAATGAAAACACTTGCCCTGTATTATGTTGCTGGTCCAGTATATTACCAACTCTCAGTGATTCCATGTACAACAAACGAAACACTGCCTGTTTCATTTGATCCCGTGCCATCCTCACAATCACTGCATTTGAGGCCATTCTTACAGACACTCTGCCGTCCCTCTCCTTGACAGTCTTTCTCTTTTTCACTGCCCTTCCATTTTACCACGCATGTAATTAATTTATCACCATTCCATTGCCCATGATAGTTAGGGAAATTCATCTATATGAACTAAATATAGACAAATATCATTAATATCACATAAAGGTAAAATTTTGCTGAGGATTATCCAACAATGGTGGCAGCAGTACATTGACAGGGAGCTGCCAGAGATTCAGACAAGATTTAGAAAAGAATGTGGAATAGGGATACCATTACTGATGTCAGATGGATCTTGGCTGAAAGCAGAGGATATTGGAAAGTTATTTATTTGTGTTTCATTGACTATGTCAAGGCACTCAACTGTGTGGATCATAACAAACTATGGAGAGCCTTGCGAAGAATAGCAATTCCGGAAGACTTCATTGTGCTCGAGCGGAATTTGTACATGGATCAAGAGGGAGTTGTACGAATAGAAAAAAGGGACTACTGCATGATTGTAAATCAGGAAAGGGGTATGTCAAGGTTATATCCTCTCACCATACTTGTTCAATCGCTATGTTGAACAAATAATCAGAGAAACTGGACTATATGAAAAAGAGTATGGCACCAGGATTAGAAGAAAGTTTATTAGCAACCTGCAATATGCAGATGACACAATCTTGCTTGCTGAAAATGAGGAGGACTTGAAGCACTTACAGCTAAAGATCAAGGATTGCAGCCTTCAATACAGATTATCACTCAAAGTAAAGACCAAAATCCTCATAACTAGACCAATAGACAACATCATGATACATGAAGAAAAGAAATTGTTAACGATTTCCATCTAATTTGGATCTATAAGCCACAAACTCAAATGATGCATTACATTAGGTAAACCTGCTGCACGAGGCCTCTTTAAAGTGTTAGAAAGCAAGGATGTTACTTTGAGAACTGCCATGGTCTTTTCAATTGCCTCATATGCATGCAAAAGTTGGACATGGAATAAGGAACACCAAAGAAGAATCAATGCATTTGAATTATGGTGCTAAGAATATTAAAAGTGCCCTGGACTGCCCTGCTTGATGCTCACTCTCATGAAGGGATCACTGAAGAGTTGGGTGCTATAGCAAAGCATAATGAAGGAGTCAAATGGTGCCCAGCTATCAAAAAGAATAGCATCTGGGACCTTAAAGGCTTGTCTTAAAACAAGGAGCTATCTAAGTGAGGCAACAACTAAGGGCACATGGAAGAAGCACACCAGCTGGTGTGATCTAAGGTCTAGATATAATAAAATCCAAATCCAAAGGAGGGAATGGCATCAGGGCTTAAATTTCGAACACTCAATTTGCAGAAGGCTATGGATGACAATAGAAGCCAAAAAATTCCATTTGCAGGGTCCCTACCTGGTCCCTACGAGGAGATTACACCTCCCTCGAATTCCCTCTGACTATAGTCAAGAGATGTGAATAGCATTGCTATCCGACAAGAGAGCATTGTAAAGTTGATTATGGCAAATGTTGTCAGGTTAAAATAGAATATCTTATCAGTTCATTTCCCTTTTACCCATTTAGAATGTTTCAGTTTAAAAAAAATAGTGAAGGGGAAAGACATGTGAATTAAGCCTCTTGTGAATCCCCTCTGATCAGAGACCAGGGGTTCGAATAGCCTGCTAGCATGCAGAATGCAGTGGAAAGGGAGTTGGTGCAGAACCAGCTGGGCTACAATTTAAGACCTTATCATTTTATCTCATTTGTGACCCTAAAAATTTATTCCAGTTTTCAATATTTCCTGATTTTTTCCTCTAGTTATTTTGTTAATGCTGCTAGTTTGTTTGTGTTGGGTATGTTTTCCAGTTTATGTAAACCTACAGGTAAATCTGTAGACAATAACTGGATTAATGGCTTATTGGGGCTTGCAAGGGGAGGTTGGAGGGAAATAGGGAGCTAATAATAAGGAGTACAAGAAGGAAGAAAATGTTTTAGAACTGATTGTAGTCATGATTTTGCAACTCTTTTTAATATGACTGAACTATTGAAGTGCATGATATATGAATTATATCAATAAAACTATAAAAGAAAGTACCATAGACTGCCAAACGAGCCAACACATTTTTGAAGTACAAAAAAAGGTGCAGCCAGTGTTCCTTATTTGGCAAGAATGACAAGACTTTCTCTGACACACTTTGGACATAATGACAGAACTACAGGACACCATGCTTGGTAATGCAGAGGGGCGGTGAGAACGAGAAAGGCGCTGGACAAGATGGACCGGCACAGCGGCTGCAACAAGGGGGTCGACTATCCCAAGAACTGCGAGGCTGGAGCAGGGCTGGGCAGTCTCGCATCTCATCATGGGGTCGCTCTGAGACGGAACTGTCTCGATGACACCTAACGAGAACATTTAGACGAGGCTACGTGGACCAGCCGGCTGGCTCGGCGGTGGGTGTGTCTGGCCTCAGCCCCGCGGAGCCGCTTCAGGCTGCGTCCCCGGAGCCCTCGAGGGAAGCTGCGCCTCCGAACGACAAAGTTCTCCCCTGTCAGTGCCCTGCGTGTCACCGGACTCCCCCGAGCCCTCCTCTCCGCTAACTGGACGAGCACCCGGGTCCCGACGTGCCGTCACCCGTCTCCAGCCGGCAGCGGGGCGTCCAGGGAATACAATCTTCACACTGAAGAGGGAGTCGCTGCCGGCGTTCTCGAAGTTTTTCTCCAGCGGCGGGGGAGGGGGAAGGGCGGGCCTTCCGCTCCGTCTCTTCCCACCGCCGACATCATAGAGGCGCAGGCCTCCCACTTCCTAGCCAGAGCTCGTTCCCCCCCAGTGCTTGCTAGAGCGTCTCCGCGCCGCTTCCTGTCGCTCAGGGGCCGGGAAGGAAACCGACGCCGGAAGTGTTGGCTGTGAGACCGGAAATGATGAAATGAGGTCGGGACGTGAGGAGGGCGGGGGCTTATGAGGCGGCCCAGGGAGCGTTGGGATAGATTTGCACTCAGGGCCACCTGAGGGACTTAGCGATGGCGTTCAGCTCTTTCCCTTACCGTCGCAGAGACACGCTTGTCGCCAGAGAGTAGGCTACTCTATGCGGAGGGTGGGTTGTCGGGAGGTCATTTCTGTGGTTTGCCTTGAAGCGACGTGTGGAGAGGCAGGGCTGGGGGTGGGTCAGGCCTCCTGGGCGTTTGTGAGGGAAGACCCCCGCCCCCCTCCCAGCCCCTTCCGTATATCTAAACTGCCCCCGACTGGACGCTAAGATGGCTGCCGTTGCCATGACACCCAACCCTGTGAAGACCCTCCAGGAAGAGGCGGTGTGCGCCATCTGCCTCGATTACTTCACGGACCCGGTGTCCATCGGCTGCGGGCACAACTTCTGCCGAGTGTGTGTAACCCAGTTGTGGGGCGGGGAGGATGAGGAGGATCGGGATGAGTTAGACCGGGAGGAGGAGGAGGAGGACGATGGAGACGAGGAAGAAGTGGAGGCTGTTGGGGCTGGAGGTGGGTGGGACACCCCCATGCGGGACGACGACTACGAGGGGGGCATGGAGGAGGAGGAGGAGGAGGAGGGGGAGTTCTGGACCAATGGCATGGGCGAGTCGAACTGGGACGACATGGACTATGTGTGGGAGGAGGAGGATGAGGAGGAAGACCTGGACTACTACTTGGGGGACATGGATGAGGACCTGAGGGGGGAAGATGAAGAGGACGAGGAGGAGGTCCTGGAGGAGGACGAAGAAGAGGAGCTGGAGCCCGTCACCCCACTGCCTCCGCCCCCTGCCCCTCGGAGGTGTTTCACCTGTCCCCAGTGCCGCAAAAGCTTTCCCCGCCGGAGCTTTCGCCCCAACCTGCAGCTGGCCAACATGGTGCAAGTGATTCGGCAGATGCACCCGGCCCCCGGCCGAAGGAGCAGAGGGAACGAGCAGGGCATTTGCCCCAAGCACCAGGAAGCCCTGAAACTCTTCTGTGAAGTGGACGAAGAGGCCATCTGTGTAGTGTGCCGAGAATCCAGGAGCCACAAACAACACAGCGTGGTGCCGTTGGAGGAGGTGGTGCAGGAATACAAGGTGAGAGAAGTCCAGAGGAGACGGGGCTTGTGGGGGAGGAGGAGGAGGTGCCGAGAAACGGAATCATCCGTTTCCAAACCAAGGGGCTTTGGTGGGACAGTGGGTGGGTTACGATTTGGGTTGCTAAGCTCAAGGTCAGCGGTTCCAAAATGCTCAGCGGGAGGAAGATGAGGCGTTCTACTCCCGTACAGATTTGCAGTCTCAAAACTCCCCAGAGGGCACTTCTGCATTGCCGATAGGGTCACTCTGAGTCAGAATCGCCGAGTTTGGATTAGGTTGTTTGGGTTTGGTTACCAATCCAGGTTTTCCTCGAAACAGCTGAGAAGCAAAGGGGCTTCAGTGACAGTGAGTTTGACTGATTAAGCAGTGAGGCAGCGGGATTAGAGTCGCTAAGGCTAGCTAGGGGAGAGGATTGACAGGTTTGTAAGTGTACACCAGGAAGTAAATTGAGGGGAAGGAACAGATTTTCAGGAACAGTAATGAAGATTCATTAAGGTGCAGTTATGGTTCTTGACAGGATACAAGTCCTTTTGTACCTCGGTGACCTGAAGGTTGTGACTGCCTTTTCTACTCATGTTCTGCCAGCTGAGTCTAGTCATAACTGATGATTGCTTGCTGTGATGTGATACTTTCCTGGGGGAGGGAGGGCTGCAAAGAAGTTAGCAGGAAGGAAAATACTGGTTAATTATGAGCAGTAAACTTTTGTGTGTGTGTGTGTGAAGTGGACTATATATATGTATAAGTATATATATCTGTACATGTGTGTATATACCAATATCCTGTGACATCTGATATCGTGAGGGCAGGCTTCTGGGGCAAGCTGTGGAATTTACAAAATTCCTATAAAGCTAAGTAGGTTAGGGGTAGTCTCAATCTTTCTCCCCAAAGATCAAAGAACCTCCTGCCCTGGTGAGATGCTCTCTTTAAGTATTTACTAGCACTGAGGTGGGATATGAGGGGGTACCCCCCCAAACCAGAATCCCCCCCCAAGCTATGTATTTAATTTTTTTTAACAAAATAACCTTATCGTCTTCAAATTACTCTCCATTATACTTAATACATTAGTCAAATCTGCAATTCCATTCTTGGAAACAGTTTTCAAACTCATCTGTTTGTATGGCTGACAGCACCTCCTTCATTTTATTCTTCACCTCTTCTATGTTGCTGTCCTTTCATTCCCCTCTTCATTTGTGGAAACAAAAACGAAGTCGCATGGAGCGAGGTCAGGTGAGTAAGGTGCATGGGGTAAGAGAGGCATGCTGTTTTTTTGCCAAAAACAGGCACACTGAGAAGGCTGCGTGAACAGGTGCGTTGTGGTGGCAGAACCAGTCCTCCTTCTGCCACATTTTGTCTCACACTGTTAAGCTATCTTTTCATAACCCCTAAATATAAATCTTGATTAACAGTCTGACCTTGTGGAACAAATTCACGTCAACATTTCTGTGTTTGGGAAGATGACAGATGTCCAGAATGAGGTTTGTCAACAGTCGACATTTCACCTGTTTTGACAGGAGAAAACCACTGTACACTTGAGTTTTCTGCATAGCACTGTCCTTGTGAGCTGTGTTCAACATCACACAGTTTCTATAGCATTTTTCCTGAGCAGGAAATGAAGTTTCACAGCCACACACTTTTCTCTTAAATCGGCCATCACAAAGAATGAGATTCAAGCACAACTGCTTTTACAAGAAAATTCACTGAGACCAGAGAGAATCTTCACAGGAGATACCTCTAGGTGCACTAACTCAGAGCGAGTTGCTTGATTTTCTGCTGCGCCCAACACAATTCCGGTGTGGGTTTTTTTTGGGAGGGTACCCCCTAGTAGAGTGAGAAGTCTACTAGTCTCCTGTACACAGACAAAGGAGATACCAGACAAGACTGGCTTCCACAGGGCATATCAGGCAAGCTACTGAAGACAGTACAGGGCTGCAGCTCCTAGGAGCAGCCCATTGCTCTTTCACCCTTCCTCTGTCTTCAGGTGTGGCAGTGCTGGTAACAGGTCCCTAGTGCTTTACCACTAGTTTCCATTTCCTTGGGGTAAATCTGAACTCTCTGACTATGACCCCAAGAGGTGGGAAGAACTTGGACTCTGAAGCAGGATCTTAAAAAAGACTAATGTTAGACCTAAGTGTCCCACACTTGCTCCTGACTAGAGTGCCCTATCCACCCCAGGATTTGGTTTGGGTCTTCACCCCCTTGCAAACTTTTGTTGTTGGGTCTGCATCAAGTCTGATGTAATGACCAGAACTTCTTACCATTGCTAATAGTATAGAAAATAAAAAGAGAAGGGCTTTTTAAATTTTTTTTGAGAAAGGCTTTTTAATCTTTTCTCTTTTTTTGTAAGCCAGATAACCTAACTCTGTCACTATTTATTTAGACAGTCTGTTGAACTTTAACGTCTCCAAGATTGTTGTTGTTGTTGTTGGGTGCTATCAAATCAGGATTAATGTTATTTATTGAACATACTCTGTCTACCAGGCACTGGACTCTTAAAATTTTTAAAAACCTGTGATTTTGGGTGTCCAGATTCTACAGTTTGGGAAACAAAAGGCAGAGAGGTGTAAGTACAGTATAAAGGACTACACAGCTACTAGTAAATGGACATGGTTATGACCACCATAAACAGCTGCTACCATCATTTGAATGTCTGTTGTTAGCTTGGCATCTCTGACCGGGGACCTCACTCTTTGGAGTCTCATTCAGGTGTGGGTAATAGCTTACCTCCTTACCTCTGATCCCTACAGTTTCTGGGCATAGCTGAAGGAGATTTGTTTGTATGACAGCAGCACCAATAGCACTACTTAACCCGGGCCTGGCTGGGTTGAAGTTAGGAGGATTAGGAGGAAGAGGGGAAGGTGGTTTCTGTGGTCTATGTAGTACTTTTTGGCTTTAAGACTTGTGTTTTCACACCTAGAGTCACCTCAAGTTAGATGTTATTTGTTATCTCAATTTTAGGGTAATGTGTATAAAAGCATCTCAGCTCTGAGTAGTGCACAACTAAGACCTACATCCCTTATTTGTGATTATAAGTAAACTGTCCTTTTCATGCACATCTTGTCGGTCCCATTTATTAGAGGAACTTCAGACAGTGGGTCTACCATTAGAGCTTCTGAATCAGTGTTGGGGAGAATTTCTTAGGAGGGCCAAGTCAAGTTTGGGAATCACTGTATTGGCAACCTCACTTTTTGGCCTTATGTCCTTAGTGGAAGTTTTGTGATCCTTTGGACCTTTTATATGCCCTTATTTCCTAGGTAACTGTACCCCATCACGCAGTGTGCAATTGCTCAGTTAACTAGAACCAGGGGGGGCCTATCCATGGGCATACCTTCTTGTTTCCTTCATTCTCCTCCTACAGGATTCTTCTGAAGACTGTCTGAAACTGGATTTTATTTGTATTGATCCTATCAGTTGAATACATACTACTGAAAATCCTTTAGGAGGCTTGAAGAAAGCCCTGGGTGGCATAAGTAGTTCTGCACTTTACTGCCAGTCAGTGCCCAGAGGGATCTCATTGCTTGGCAGACCTGGCTGTCTGCTTCTGAAAGGGCTCTGTCTTGTAAGCCATATGGAGTACATTTCTACTCAGTACATGTGGTGTCCCTGTAACTTAAGTCTTATTGTATCTTAATGTGACTTACATCCTCTGCTAGGAAGAGTTAGTCTATTCTTTTCAGATACATACAGTGATCAGCTTGTCACTGTTGTCTAGAAACATTTCTTGATTGAGTAGTAACCACAAATGATTTGTAAATACAGCTTTAAAAAGTGAAAGATTTTTAAATAAGTCTTTTAAATAGCAATGTAGTGAGGCACTTCAATATTTTACTGGCACCATAATATTGAAAGTACAATGGGGGCGGGGGAAAAAAGAAAGTTCAATGAAAAATATTGAAAATACAATGGACTGCTGAAAGAACAAACAAATCTGTCTTGGAAGGACTACAGCCAGAATGCTCCCTAGAGGTAAGGATGGTGAGCATGTGTCACCCATATTTTGGAAGGCCATCATGCTTGGTAAAAAGTGCAAAAGAGGAAGGTCCTAGACAAGATGGATTGACACAGTGGCTACCACACTGGGCTCAGATAGAAGAGCAATCGGGAGGATGGTGCAGGGCTGGGCAGTGTTTTACATAGGGTTGCCTGAATCAGAATGGGCTTGATAGCACCTAACAACAGCAACAATGTAGTCAGGAAGTCTGGTGGCATAGCGGATTATGCATTGGGCAGGTCAGCAGTTAGAACCCACCATCACACTCTGGGAGAAAGATGAGGCTTTCTAAAACACAGGTAAACATTTACAGCCTCTGACACACAAGGAGATGATTGTACTCTGGCCTAAAGGATAGATATGAGTCAGAACCAACATGTTGACGGTCAGTTGTGTTGTGTTTGTTTTAGTTTGAGTAATGTAGTTGGATTTTTGGTTATGAGTACTTGTCAGTAATTTCAGAAGTCTTAAATGGTAAATTGCATGATATTTTGGAATTGCTGGAGTGGAAATCAGTGACAGTTGTAAACCGAAGTAATATCAAAAGGCAATATTTTGTGTATTTGTATATTATGAGTTGACGTCTTTCTGTCATGTTTTCTACATTCTCTAATCCTGTGCAGCAACTGCTTTCAGTGCTGAGAGCCAGCTGCTTTAGGCCATTATCAGGGTGTCTTTGGCAGGCTAGAGGCTTAGGGAGAGAATACTGGATAACATTGTCTTACCTTTTGCTGTTGTATGCCAAATATAGTGTTGAATGTTTTTATTTTGCTTTCCCAATTTAATATGGTTTGCCTCTGGTCACTTAGTTGTATTCAGAGGTAGGTCTGACTAGATCTCAGCTGTTAGCCCTCAAGGAAAAGAGAGAGGGGGGTTGAAGAAGTAGAAGACACAAAAGGACAAAAGGCTGCGATCATCCTTGTGGTAGGACACTGGGTTTCTGGAAGGCCTTGGATTACAGTGAAAGGTCTAAATCCATTTTGAGTCTCCACATTGATTCATCTCTATTGAATTCTTTCTGCCCATTAACCAGCAGAGTGTATAGTTTTGCCCTTAGGCTGAGTGTGTTTGAAAGTGGATTCCCACCACTCCTAGAGCTAGCCTTAGGGATTTGCCTGGGTATTCCCTTGAGGGAATTTGCAGTATTAGAGCCCTGGTGGTATAGTGGTTAAGAATTGGGCTATGATCTGCAAAGTCAGGATTTCAGAACTACAAGCAGCTCCACAGGGGCTTTTACTTCCATAAACAGTGTCAGAAACCCCAGAGGCAGTTCTGCACTGTCCTATAGGGTCAGTATGAGTCAGCATTGACTCGATGGCAATGGGTCTGCATGACCATGAGTCATACCCCGCCTGCCTTGATCTCAAGGCCCTGAGCCAATCTTGTAATGTTTTCTATCCAGAACATTGTATCCCAGTCAGGGTCTTTTTCCCACATCTGATATACTGATCTGTTGCCAGTCATGCTTTAGCGACAGTTTGCTTCATATTTCTATGCTGATTTAAGTGGCTGCATTTCTTTAAATTCTTCAGTGCTATTATGATCCATCATGCTAATAGTCTCCCTCATATGGATGATATGTTTTGTCCTAAGATAACAAATGTGCTCCATAAATTACATTCGAGATTTGGGGTCTCTTTTGTTCCCCTGCAACACCCATTCTGATCTCTAACAGCCCTTTAAAGGACAAGACTTAACTTCAAGTTTTGGGAAAGTAGAACTCGCATATTTGCTTTTAAAGTTAAACTTTTAGGGGGAGACATTTTTGTGTTAGCTACTAGAATGGAAAAGAGAACAGAGTCAAGTAAAGTAGCCCCTGTCCCTCAGGACCCCACGATGTTATGGCGGAGACACACTCATAAATGATTAGGGTGGTATAAAAGTTTTAGTCAAAGTTCCTTGGAATCAAAGACGGGTGTGTGTGGGAGCTGGGTCTTGAAGAAAAATTGTCTTAAGTAGCCTCTGGCAAAAGCAGCAATGGTGTTAAAAGTATGGAATTATGCTAAGAAAGAAAGACAAAAGAAATCATTTAATTTGGCTGAAACAGAGGCTGTGAAAAAAGGGGGTGTAGAAGGTGAAACTCAAAATGCAGGAGCAAGGAACGCCTCGTTGCTGGAGAGCAACTGAAGCATTCTTAATACAGGCACAAAATCATCAGAAATGTATTTAGAGTTAACTGCTGAGCAAGCCACAGGGGTTACTTGTAAGGCGGAAGAGACCAAAGCAGGAGGGTTCATATTGAGGCACTGTGCATGGTGGAGAAACGCTGAGGTCATAGTGAATTACACAGTGAGCTGCTTATCACAAGGTCATTGGTTTAAACCCACTAGCCAATCCATGAGAGAAAAATGAGACTGTCTGTTTCTGTAAAGATTTAAGTCTTAGAGGCACAGCTCTGCTCTGTTCTGTAAGGTCACAGTCACTCAGCTATGAGTTAGAATCAACTTGTTGGCAACGGGGGATGTATGGTATGGGACAGAGAGCCAGATCCATCCCAAGTCTGAGTGTGGGGCTCTGTAGTCATAAGGCTCCCCGCTTTCAGGAATACACACCAGGGTTGTGCATAATTACAGGAGGAAGGTGAGAGGCCTTCATGTGATCTGAGGAAAAAGGGGGAGGAAGATGCTCATAGATCATCCCTTATGTAGATCAGGCCTTAGGCGCTAACGTGCTATGGGAGGATGGGGGAAGTGGGCTGTAAAGGGCAGGTGCTTCTCCCAGGCCAGACCTCTAACATTCCTTTCCCGTTCTGTCAGGCAAAACTTCAGGGCCACGTGGAACCGCTGAGGAAGCATCTGGAGGCTGTCCAAAAGATGAAGGCCAAGGAGGAGAGGCGGGTGACAGAGCTGACGGTGGGTGAATGTCTTTCTTTGGTAGGAGATGGCTGGTTCTGTAGTCAAGGAAGATGGGGCTGCTCACTTTTAGAGTGGTTCTTAGATTCCCTGTGAGTGACAGCCAAGGCCTAGGAGAAAGTTAGATAACTTTCCAGGGTTCTGAGAGGAGGAGAACCTGAGAGGGCTGGAAGCTATGTTCCTTGATTCCAAATTGGAGTGAAATTTGAGGATTGATTTGGAGAGGTTGGTTCATTGCTACAGACTAAGATTTCTACTTTGGACCTCCAACCCCAGAGCCTATGCTCCACACTACCATGCCAGCCTCCAAATGCAGGAGCAACAAGAGCCTCGTTGCTGGAAAGCAACTGAAGCATGCATAGCATAGTCATGTTGCTGCATAGCACAGAAATCAGAAGCAGGCAAAGCAAATCCCACAGAGCAACCTTTAGAGACCCCACAGGTGGGGGTGCTGGTAGTGGGTAGAGAACACCGAGCCTCAGAGGAATACAGTCTGGGGAAGATTGTTATACTGCCAGAGAGAGCCAAGGTGTTTAAGGTAGAGGAGGAATTAGTGAATGTTGACATTGCAATCTGTTGTTTCCTTATATTCCCACCCATTTCACCCCAACCCTGTAATTGTAAGGTGAGATTCTGGAAGGTAAATAGGCACTGCTAGAGTAGGCCAGCTCTGTGAACTGCCGAGGCCAAGCCAGGACCTCTCACCCTGTCCCTTTCCTACCTGACTACCAAGGTTTGCCTCCATGGCCATCAGCTAGGCCTTGTCACTATTCAGGGCCCAGGATTGTTGACCTAGGGATTCTGCTGTTGGCTCCTACTGGACTTTGGGCCAAGAATCTGAGTCTAAGAGTCAAGACGTTACCTTGTCTCTGGCCAGCTGCCCAAGTTGAGGCTCCAAGGTTCTCCAGGGGGAGAGAAGGGTGCAAAGAAAGGTACCATATATACTTGAGTATAAGCCTACCCGAATATCAGCTGGGGCACCTAATTTTACCACAAAAATGACATTTAAAATGTGCTGAAAAACTTGGCTTATACATGAGTATATCTGGTTCCAACTCATCGTAACCCTATGCACAACGGTAGGAAACACTGCCTGGTCTTCCTCTTTTTTTGTTTCCCTTTTACTTTTCCAAAGCATGATGTCCTTTTCCAGGGACTGGTCTCTCCTGATAACATGTCCAAAGTACATGGGATGAAGCCTCACCATCCTTGTTTCTAAGGAACATTTTGATTGTACTTCTTCCGAGACAGATTTGTTCTTCTGGCAGTCCATGGTCCTTTGAATATTGTTGACCAGCACGATAATTCAGATGCAGCGATTCTTCTTCGGCCTAACATACTCATTGTTCCATTTTCACATGTATTGAAAACACCATGGCTTGCATCAGGCACACTTCAGTCTTCAAAGTGACATCCTTGCTCTTCAACCCTTTAAAGAGGCTTTGTGCAGCACATTTATCCAGTGCAATACATCATCTGATTATTATGTGAATATCTGCATAATAACCACGATCTAAAATATGTACTATATGAATCTTTACAGAAGTTTGTTGGCCCCTAATCTAGAGGGCTAACATTGGTTAAGTTTTCATTTAGAAAACTATTACCAAGTATCTACTCCATGCCAGGGTCTGAGGACACTGTACCAAAAAAAGACATACCGAGTTCCTATCGGCGGAGCTTATGGTGCCATTGGGGATGGGGTGGGCGTGGGAGTAGGGGAATGTTAAAAGATACTCCAACATGAACATAAAATTTTAGATTGAGATAACATGAGAAATATATGCCTTGAAGGGTTACAGTGGTACTCAGTGGAGGTGGTCTTGATTTAGATCTGAAGGACCTCAGGGAAGATTTTAAGCTTAGGCTTGAAGGAAGAGTCAAATTGAGGCAGATGAAGTGGAGAATCCAGGCAGAGGTTGACGAGTTTTAAGACCAGTGTACTAGGACTATAACATTGGGTTTGGGAGACTGAGAGATGAGAGGGTCCCGGAGCTACTTCTCACCCCCAAGTCTTTCCTTGGCCTGGGGGATGCAGGGTTCCTTTGCCTTGAGTTGAGGGACAATAGCTGCAGAAGTGAATATTAAATGTGTTGAAGTGATGCCCCTATTCCCTTTTCAATCCTAGAGCCAGATGAAGTCAGAGCTGGCAGCAGTGGCCTCAGAATTCGGGCGGTTGACGCGGTTTCTGGCGGAGGAGCAGGCGGGGTTGGAGCGACGCCTCCGAGAGATGCATGAAGCCCAGCTGGGGCGTGCAGGAGCAATGGCCTGCCGCCTCTCAGAGCAGGCTGCCCAGCTGAGCCGCCTCCTGGCAGAGGCCCAGGAGCGGAGCCAGCAGGGGGGCCTGCGGCTGCTGCAGGTAAACATTGCCCCCTCCCTCACTTGCCGCCACCATCTGAACTTGCCCTTGTCCCACTTCCAGTACCCTGTGTCTGTCTGTCTGCATAGTCAGGCAGTGCTTTTCAGGCATCGGTCCAGAGTTGCCTTTTGCCTCCTTGGGAGGAACCACGGTGATTTGACTTAGACATCAAACCAGGTTTTTTAGGCTGGAATCTGTTAATGTTCAATCCTGTGGTTGGTATGACCAGTGCGTGAAGAAGATTCCATTTTCAAGGGATTTAAATGAGACTTAGGGGAATACTCCTGGTGACCTCTCAAGTTATTAGGTAGCTTAAAATCAGAGCGCTCCCTGCAGGATGAGGTGAATTCGCATGCCAGGTAGAGGATGGCTGAGATGAACTTGAAGTTATTAAGGTCTATAAGGGTGCTTCTTTTCCCTCCCAGTTCAGTTCAGTCCTTTCTCTGGCTGAACATCGGGAGAAAGAAAGAACCATCCCTGTGCAGCTGACTCTCTCTCTCTCTCTCTCTCTCTCTTTCTTTCTCTTTTTCTTTCTGTTATTCCCAGGACATCAAGGAGACTTTCAATAGGTGTGTTCCCTCCCTTTACCCTTTGTGGCCCAGTAGCATCTGGTTCCCCATCCCTCCCTCTTTTGGGTACCCCTTTCCATGCCTTCCTTTCCCAGGACCTTCGTTTCTGCTTCCTGGGCCCTCCTTTCCCTCAACCTTTGCTGTTTCCTCTGGGAATATCGGGTCCTACCCCCTGCCCGGTCCCCTTCCTCCAGGTGTGAAGAAGTACAGCTGCAGCCCCCCGAAGCCTGGTCCCCTGATCCGTACCAACCTCATAGCCATGACTTCCTGACTGATGCCATCGTGAGGAAAATGAGCCGGATGTTCTGTCAGGCTGCCCGAGGTAGGGAGCTCACCTGTACAACCGTCCTTTCCCTTTCCCTTTGTTGGCCTGAGCTGGGGTCTGGGGAAAGTTAGGACCCAGAGCAAGTGGGATGGATACCTTGATGTTGCAATTGGGGCTTTAATGTCAAGTAACGCTGTCATAGGCCAGGGTATAGAGTGATGGGAAAAGCTGAAGCCAAATGGAAGATCTATCAAGTGTCCTGGGAACAAGATGGGGAGATAGTGGGTCCCAGGGTGTGGAGCTGAGGAGAAGTGGATTGCAGGGTGAGGGGCGGGCAGCTGGAAAGGGAGAATCCATGGAATTAATTGAGATTGGGGAACAGCTGTTCCAGCCCTGGCACATTTGTCCTCCCTTCTCCCAAGTGGACCTGACGCTGGACCCTGACACAGCTCACCCTGCCCTGATGCTGTCCCCTGATCGCCGGGGGGTCCGCCTGGCAGAGCAGCGGCAGGAGGTTGACCACCCCAAGCACTTCTCGGCTGACTGCTGTGTACTAGGGGCCCAGGGTTTCCGCTCTGGCCGGCACTATTGGGAGGTAGAGGTGGGCGGGCGTCGGGGCTGGGCGGTGGGCGCTGCCCGTGAATCAACCCATCACAAGGAGAAGGTGGGCTCTGGAGGGCTGCCTTTGGGCAGTGGAGATGTCAGTTCCTCACGTCATCACCATCGCCGCCGCAGACTCCATCTACCCCAGCAACCTCTGCTCCAGCGGGAAGTGTGGTGTGTGGGCACCAATGGCAAACGCTACCAGGCACAGAGCTCAACAGAACAGACACTGCTGAGCCCAAGTGAGAAACCAAGGCGCTTTGGTGTGTACCTGGACTATGAGGCCGGGCGCCTGGGCTTCTACAACGCAGAGACTCTGGCCCATGTGCACACCTTCTCAGCTGCCTTCCTGGGCGAGCGCGTCTTCCCTTTTTTCCGAGTGCTCTCCAAGAGCACACGCATCAAGCTTTGCCCTTGATTGGCCTGCCACCCGCAAGGGCCCCTCTGGTAAACACTGGGGGGTCGGGTGGTGATGGAGAGTGGCCTATCAGTTTGGGGTCTCAGTGGCTCCTTTCCAATGTTAATGCGTTGCTTCCCACTCCCCCTTGATCCCAGGCCCCTGCTTCTCCTAGAAGCCTAAAGAACCTTCCTGGCCACCAACTAGGCCTTCTCTCACCTACTTTGTCTGTCCAACAGGTCTGCATGGGTCTTTGACATGAGAACAGCTTCCTGGCCTTCTCTCCCTCCTGTCTGCCCAGTCTGGCCCTAGGGGTCTGAATTTAAGTTAGGGAAGATATCATTCCTTATTAACTTCTTATTCCCCACTTGTGTAATTTCTGAAGGGTTTGGGCATGAATCCTAACATCCCCCATATTCCAATTCCATATTCTGGTACAGACTTTTAGCTAAGGGATTTGGAAGCTTTTATGGGGAGGCAGGTTGGGGGAAAAGGGTAGAGCTGGGTAATAAATGTCTACTCTCTTGGGGACTTGGGGAGGAATTCTAAACGTTCCTTCCTTCCCCTATTTCTACCTCCATAGACTGGCCAGAACTTAGCTTCAATGAGAGATCTGGAGTGGTCGACATAATTGAGCCTACATACTGTTCCACCATCCAATAAATTATTTGCTCCCCTGCCCTTCATTCCAGCACACAATCTAGGAACAAAACTCACCCTCCCACCCCTCCCGGTTTCAGGGTTTTCACTGCCAGGCCCCTTCCCCTCTGTTCAGTGGAGTTGCTTATACAACATCTCAGTTTCCAGCCTCTCGCCATGCCTTCAGTTCCATTTGGCAAAGCCCTGCTGGGGATGCCTGGGGACAGGGGTTTGGATCCCCACCAGGAGAGCCTTGGGTATAATCTATTTTTCTAGTAATCCCTTGCCTTTTGTCACTTACAAGCTTGCCCTCTGCTTTGATAGCCGAGGTCGATTCATGTTCTAAGGGAAAGGGAGAGGTGGGTTGTGTTGTGGAGTTGAATAAAAGTTTATTTGCTTCTGTGAAGTGTATTCCTTTAGACCAATGTTTCCCAAAGTAGGTGATACTGCCTTCTGGGAGGCACTGGAACAATCCAGGGAGCCGGTGAAAACATGCCTATACTGTATCCTGGATTATGGGCTATAGTACAAATGTTTTTAATTGCTTGGCGGAGGAGGGACTGCTGAATAGTATGTTTACTGAAAAGGAGGCAGTAGGCCAATGAAGTTGAGAAACGTATACTCATAGTGACCCTGTGGGTGACAGGAATCATTGCCCAATCCTGGGCCATCCTCACAATTGTTGCTGAGCCCATTGTTGCAGCCACTGTAACCGCCCATCTTTTTGTTTGTCTTCCTAGTTTTCACTGCTCTTCTACTTTCCCAAGTGTGCCACCCCTTTTCAGGGACTGGTCTCTGGAGAACGCCCCTGAAGTCTCAGCGTCCGTGCTTCTGAGGAGCTTGCTGCCTATACTTTTTCAAAATAGATTTGTCTGTGACTTTGGCAGTCCGTGGTACTTTTAATAATCTTCAACAACACAAAAATTCAGATGCATCAATTCTTTGGTCTTCCATATTCAAGATCCAACTTTCACATATACAAGAGGTGATTAAAAATAATCATGGCTTGGGTGATCAGGGGAGCTTTAGTACCAAAAGTGACATCCTTGCTCTTCAACACTTTAAAGAAACTTTTTGCAGCAGATTTACCCAGTGGAATACATTGTTTGATTTCTTGCCTGCTACTTCCATGAGTGTTCATTGTGAATCCAAGGAGGATGAAATCCTTGACCACTTCAACCTCCTCTCCTTTTATCATGATGGCTACCTTTTAGTCTAAGTCTAAGGAATGTGCTTTTCTTAACATTAACATGTTACCCATATGAAAGGCAGCAGTCCTTGATCTTCATCAGCAAGGGCTTTTAGTCCTCCTTTTCAGGAAACAAGGTATCTGTACAGCTCAGTTTGTTAATAAGCCTTCCTCTAATCCTGGTGCCATGTCCTTCATATAAGAATCAGTTGCTGAAATGTGGGCCACTATGATGGGCCAGATCTGGCAAGCCATATCCTACATAACTTTAAGAACATGACATTAGATTCTAGTAACACCACAGGAAGCCTTATATAGGCAAGTATCAGAACCTTGTTGGCTTTACCAACGTCATCACCACCTTTCTGTTTGCCAGTGTTCACTGAAGAGATTTTTTTTTTAAGATAGGAATTGACTGTTTTGAGTGTCAGAAAAAAGACACCCAAAGTTAGCTAGATTTTTTTTTATTTCAAAAAGGTGCGCCATGAATTTCTACTGTGCGCTGCCACATAAACACACACCAGATTATCTATGTAGCCAACAGGCTGCAAGAAATATATGATTTGCTCAGATATCTCTCTACAGTGGAAGTCTACAGTTCACCAGTCAGCAAAGATGGCCTTTTTAGGCTAAGAGGAGGCTTCCAAAAGTTTCTGGAAAAATTCAAAAAAATTCGACCCCTTTCATACCTTGTTTTCTAAACCGCCCTAACCAAAATACAGGTGATGATTATGTATTCCTACATAATTGATGCATATGCATTATGGTGCTGGCAAAGAAAATTGAAAGTATCATGGACTGCCAAAAGAACCACAACTTTGTCTTGGAAGAAGTACTGCCGGAATGCTCCTTAGAAGCAAGGATGGTGATACTTTCTCTCACATACTTTCGACACGTTATCTGGAGAGACCCATCCCTGGAAAAGGACAGCATGCCTGGTAAAGTGGAGGGGCAGTGAAAAAGAGGAAGGCCTTTGACAAGCTGGACTCACAGTGGGCTCGAACAGCAATTAGGAGGATGGCACAGGACCGGGCAGTGTTTAACTATAGTATATGGAACCAATAGGAGTCAGAGCCAACTCCGTGACACCTAACAACAGCAATACAAGCCAATCGGTGTATGGACCCAGACGTGTTCCTAAGTTCCGACGTCCCATGTCCTCAGACCAGTCTTACCGCATGCCGGAGCACATAGTATGCATTTCTGGCACACCTCACAAGTCTTAGAAAACAAACCTGGCTAATCTTTGGTCATTGTACTTTATGTTAAAATCAGTGGTGGTTTTGAGGCCGATAGACTAGTCACATCAAGAACGGAAAAAATGCAAGCTGAGTCACTTGAGGACAGACACTTACCTGGCCATCAGCACACACACCAGACCAGAGACGTGTACTGGGACGGCTCAAGCCTTGCTGTGGTGCTGATAACTCCCTGGTTCAGTTCTATCTCTGATAATCTTGCCTTCCAAGTGCTGGGAGCAGCAAGGGCACCCACAAATGATGTTAATGGCACAGATAGTTTAGGAAGGTGCAACTAAAAGTTCTCATAAGATGTGCCTCCCGCCCACCCTGGATAGGTCTCACGCAGGCCCTTTAAATATGAATCTCATTTAAACAGGAAGGTCGTGTTCCCCCTCTACCCCTACCCTGAATATTTGGTAATGTATGAAAGCCTCTAGTTATCATTTCTGAGGAGAGATTTAACCATCTAGTGCATAGAGTGGTAAGTAAACATCCTACAATGTGTAGAGCAACCTTCCAACAATTTTACTGCCCATTACTGTCCATTTTGAAGATGATTAAGTGACTATAATAGTTTATCCCTTTAAGTAGCTAAATGTAGCCCATCGTTGCAAAATAGGCAGTCCCTGGCTTATGATCAAGATCTGTTTCCATGTCCTTTTATGTCTTTTAAGTGAAATTTGTAGTGGAGCTGGAATATGTGCACACAGCTATTTAATGCAAGAAAAACGGGCTCAAAACCTTTCAGTGATTGGAACTGGACTGGCAAAGCTTTTAATTGCCTTTTAGGAAGCAAGGAGCCTGCTGGTGTAACTGCAAGGTCAGCAGCTTAAAAAACCTTTGAAAGGGTGTGGGCAAATAAGTCAATGGATGTTTGTAACCAAAGGACTGCCTGTGTTGAGAAGTCAGCTGGCAAGGCTCCCCGTGGGCAGCCAGATACTTAGTCTGATAGCCATCCACACTCACCCCGATCTTGATCCTGGGGCCTGGGGCAGCTTCCATTGGGAATGAAGCACTGGACGCTGATGTCTTCTCAAGGGTATGAAGGTGCTTGACCTTCATTGAGGTCCCACTGCATGCCTTGGCCATCCGGAGCAGACAGGTATGGTGAAACGGGCAATGCCACTTCACGCACATAGTAATCTCAAAGTCCAAGGGTTTATCTGAATTAATCCCGGTTTTCCTCCTAATTTTTGATAAGCCAAAAATTCAAACGCTATCTTTGTAGGCTTTTCTTTAAATGCAGGACTCCTACCCCATTTAGGTACCGACAGCTTGTCTCCCCACAATCAATTATGAAATGACAAGGTTCTATTAACCTCAATTGTTTTAGCAAACTAGCTTTACAGAAAACAGCTTGCTTTGAATGTTATTTTGGGAAATGCTCTTCAGAAATGTGTATTTTTTTCTCTACACTGGCGACTCCTTGTCCCCAAAAACAGTGCTCCATCTCGAGAGACAGGTACCCTGTGTGGCAAATTGTTGGTTTCAGTTTGCAGTTGGCCAAGTTCCAAAACCTAAGGTGACAGAGAGGTGGGGTCCACACAAGTGAGGAACTAGATTAGCCGTGTCGGAGGGTTTAGCTCCCACCTAAGGGCATAATGCTTTACCAGCCACTGAGAACACTGCAGGCCAAACAGCAAATCGAATGGCTTGGAACCAAGAAAGTAACAGCAGGGGGACGTTGAGGGTGTAACCCACGGGATGTAGTGTTTGTACTCGCTTCCTGAGACATGACCTCTAAATCCTTGAAGAGGATTTGGAAGAGCCTATTCGCAAAAAGGGCACCTGTTCTAATATGTGAAGCCAGTCCAATAGCCAGAAAAACCCAAGGCACTTTCATTACCCTTTGGGGACTTGGGAAGAAGCTCACTTGGGAAACATCTCAAGGCCCCATGCTAATGAAACAGCAACCCACAGTGCATTCGGAATCATCTTAATAAATTACGAAGAAGGGGTCTGCCAAGCTTTTAAAGTTGTACCCCGTGACCCTCTAGATGCAATCAGAGCACTTTCTCCCTGGTAATGGCCTTGTGGCCCTGGCACCAGGCTCACTCACCTTGACCAACTTGTCCCAGCCACAGGAGGCGATGATGGGATTGCTGCTGTTGGGTGAAAAGCGCGCACAGGACACCCATTCAGAGTGGCTCTCGTCCTACAGGAGACAGAAGGCAATGTCCTGTCCCATGAAAGTCTAGACTATTTCTCCATCCTGCTTTGTGAGATGGATGTTAACAGCCTTGTATTCTCATCTGAGAACCCTTGGATTCCAGACAAACTTGAGATCCCTCCATATAGTAGAGGAAAGATGGGAATGATCCAGAACTGTGATCCAACCCCATACCTTCATTTCACCGGTTGTACGGTGTTCTTCTGGATACCCAGAGAATTCCACAGCTTGATACACTTTATCTCTGGAGCTAGAGACAGTTTGCCGGTTGTCAAGGATGGCCACACTCAGCACATAGTTGGTACGGCCTATACAGTGGTGCTTGGTGGTACCCCTGAGAGGGAGGACAGGGTCACTCTAAACCAGCGGTTCTCAACCTGGGTTTGGACACCTTTGGGGGTTGAACAACCCTTTGACGGGTCACCTAAGACCATCGGAAAACATATATCCGATGGTCTTAGGAAGAGACACCGCTTTATCCGTCTCCAGGTGGGGCCGCCCACATGCAGATAAGCCCACATACGAGTATCCCGTGTGATGACATCATCGCACCAACCCCATCACATACACCCTGTACAAATACAGGTGTATGTGACAGGGTTGACACCATAATGTATTTACACGGACCAGTCACGTGTAGAGAGCAGCTACTGTGTAAAGGGCAGCTGCTGTGTTGAAAGCACAGTATTGGAGGTAAAACGATGCTTCATGAGTTATAATTACTGAGTAAATGTAAAATCATGTACTGTATGATCAACTGCAAAAATATATATATATATGTATCATGGGAACTTAATCTGGATGCTGATCGGTGTTTTTATATTCAGCTGTGGTTGATGTAAATGCTGCCCCCTTGTCATAGTAACAGGTTTGTAAAAAACAAACTGGTAAATCCTAGGAAACTTTAATGAACTGTATTGACTGAACTATGCCATGTATCATCTTTTATATTATTAAAGCTATTGTTATATATTGTTTTCATTAGCAAACCATCCCATGAGAGTGGATCGCGTAGAGAAGAATGTTAAGAATATAGTGAGGATTTTTTACAGTATGGTTTTACCTCAATAATTACAGCAGGAATTGAGAAACTGCGATGTGTTATATGTTGTGAGGTTCTATCAGCCGAATCTATGAAGCTGAACAAACTAAAACGCCATTTTGATAGCAAGCATCCGAGCTTTGCCAGCAAAGATACCAACTATTTTAGAAGCAAAGCTGATGGACTCAAGAAAGCCAGACTTGACACTGGTGGCAAGTACGACAAACAAAACGTAGTGGCTACTGAAGCTTCCTATTTGGTGGCACTCGGAGTCCCCAGAGCTATGAAACCTCACACCATTGCCGAGGATTTACTGTTGCCAGCGGCCAAAGACATTGTTCGAGTTATGATCAGAGACGAATTTGTTACAAAATAGAGTGCAATTTCCTTATCTAAGGACACTGTCCACAGAAGAATAGATGACATGTCTGCTGATATTCTTGATCAGGTAATCCAGGAAATTAAATCTGCGCCACTTCCAATATTTAGCATACAGCTTGATGAATCTACAGACATTGCCAACTGTTCAGTTACTGGTTTACACGAGATATATTAATGATGGCGACTTTAAAGATTAGTTTCTTTGCAAACATCTTGAAAGGACAACTACTGCACATGAAATATTTGACACAGTTCATTTCTGAAAGAGCATAAGATCTCTTGGGAAAAGGTTTGTGGTGTTTGCACAGATGGTGCTCCAGCTAAGCTAGGATGGCGATCTGGATTTCAATGTTTGGTACTGAATGAGTCACCAAAAGTCATCAGAACTCACTGTATGATTCATCAGCAAATTAGCAATGAAGACGCTGCCACAAGAGTTAATAGAAGTAATGAAAAGCATCATAAGTTCTGTCAATTTTGTAAAGGCGAGCACTTTAAATAGCCGACTTTTCACAACTGTGCAATGTGTTGGATGCACCAAACAATGCTCTGCTATTTCACACTGAAGTGAGTTGGTTGTCGAGAGGAAACGTTTTAAAATGTGTTTTTGAACTTCGTGATTAACTCAAAACGTTTTTCAATCAGAAAGCAAGAGCGCAGTTTGAAGCACTTTTCAGTGATAAAAGTGAACTGCAGAATATAGCTTACTTGGTTGCCATCTTTGCCATCTTGAATGAGTTAAATTTATCACTGCAAGGACCAAATGCAAAATGCCTCGATTTGTCTGAATAGATCCAAACATTCCAAATGAAACTTCAGCTTAAAAAAAAAAAAAAAAAAAAAATTGGATGAAAATAAAATTTACATGTTGCCTACTTTATCTGTTTTCTTTGAGGAACATGACATTGAACCAGACAAAAAGGATTACAATGATAATTTCTGTGAAAGAATGCTTGCACATGCTTACAGACAAAATTTCATCGCACTTTCCTAATCTACCTGACACTCCATTTGCTCTTACCAGAGTCCATTCACAGTCAAAAGTTGAAGATGTTCCTGAGACAGCACAAGAGGAGTTCATTGAACTTATTAACAGCGATGCAGCGACAACTGATTTCTCTACATTGCCAGTTACAGAATTCTGGATCAAGTGTTTGCAGTCATAACCTGTTCTGTCTGAGACTGGTGTGCCTTCTTCCATTTCCAACAACAAATCTTTGTGAAACAGAGTTTTCCAGCTTGTTGGTTATCAAGCCTAAATACAGAAGTAGACTTGTGGAAGATGATCTTCGTTGTGCTCTTGCAAAGACTGCCCCGAGATTTTCTGATCTGGTGAGGAAGAAGTTATCTCAACCTTTGCACTGATGTTGGCTTTTTACACATACTGTTGAAAAATGTAGCAGTGTAGTTTACTGTTGTTATATTAAGACTGCTACCCATGCTACACTATGCTTCAAGACAAAAATTCATTTATTTGTCATTAGAAATAAATATTTCACAATATATAGTTACATATTGTTTTTGTGATTAATCACTATGCTTTAATTATTTTCAATTTGTAACAATGAAAATACATCCTGCATATCAGATATTTACATTACGATTCATAACTAGAAAAATTACAGTGATGAAGTAGCAATGAAAATAATGTTATGGTTGGGGGTCACCACAACATGAGGAACTATTAAAGCGTCTCGGCATTAGGACATTGAGAACCACTGCTCTAGACACTGCTAAACCTTCCACGGCTACATCACTTTTTGCATGTCTGTCTCAGGGGATTTGCTTTACTCACATAATCTTAGCCATAGCTCTGGCCATGGCAAGCTCCTGGTTCAGTACATGCCAGAGGATCCATCCAGAATTGCAGGGCATGGCTAATGTCACCTATCATCACTAGGCTCCTGCCCCTTGCCTGACTCCCATGCATGGCAGAGCTGCAATGTGACGAGTTTGACTGTGGGAAGCTACATCCATGAATTGGTGAAGGCTGCATCCGGTTGCTTCCTTGCCAGGTGGTAAATCCTGGGAGAAGCTGTGGACCTATTTTGCATGTCAGGTTATGAAGGATGGGGTGACGGCTGGGCACACTGCAAGGGGATGAGGGACACCCCTGGTCAGGGCAGTGCCTCTAATAGACAGAGCAGTGAGGACTACTCCAGGACACTAGAAGGAGTGTTGACTGGGCCAAGACAGAATTGGGGCTTGTGTCTCAGGCAGAGTCCAGAGCTCAGGGCTGTGAGCTAACAATTAGCGAAATAGGGGTGGGGGCAGTAGACCTGTTCTGAGAGCAACCCTAATCCTGTAAAGGTGGGATCTGGGGTGGGTGGGACTGTGATGGAGCAGAGGCAGCTGCTTGGGAACAAATTGAGAAGGTGGTTAGGAGGATCTGAAAGTGGGAGTAGGGTGTGTGCTGGACAGAGCCTGGGGCAGGTCCTGTGGCTCCTAGCCCTGCGTGGCACCTTTGGGAGAATTAAGAAAAGGTAACCTTCGGACTCACCTTGAATCATGGAGAACTGGCACATCACAACTCCCAAAAGGCTCACAGTAGGGGGAGAGTGAAGGCAGGGTGAGGGGCAAGGGTCTCACCTTGACTAAAGACAGGTGACAGCTGTAGGTGGTAGACTAGACTTGGTCCCAGGCGGTCAGCCTGCCCTAGAGCCCTTGCAAAGCCAGGAGACTGAGGTCAGTGGACAGGCGGAGGTGTTCCCCAGTCTGGAGACAGAGTCCTGCGAATATGGGGTTACAGAGGCCTGAGTTTTTGGTGGCTCTTCTGGATCACGTGTCTGGGATTAAGGGGTGGAGTCTGAAGGGCCCAAATTAAGCCTGTCATTGTTCTCAGAGAACTTGATTTCACCGGGGCCCCAAGGATGGGCAAGGAAAATGCATACACACATACTCGCACAAGGCACTTTGCCGTCAAAATGGTCAGCAGGGACCACGAGAGAACATCTTTTCCCTTCCATGTGGAGTTAAAATTGTTAAATCTTTGAAGTACAGGTATTGCTATCAGAACCGTTGGTGAAGCTCTTCAGATATGGGTAGGTGAAAAGACCCACAATCACAAAAAGCTGAAAATGTATGAAGGCTTCAAGTTGGTGGGAAAATTCCATGATCTTTTTTCACTCTTTGTCCCCAAACCTTCGAACCCCCTCACTCATACATCCATACCCAGTACTATACCTGGCCCGCCACACATTCTTCTGTGAGCTGCATTAAGTGTTTCACTCTTAATAATTACTACTATGTGAAACCAGCCCTGGGGACACCGTGGTCATGAGTTTGGCTGTTATCCACAAGGTCAGCAGTGCAAAATCCCCAGCCAATGGGTGTCAAGAGTTAGGTCTGGAAACCCACAGAGACAGTTCTACCCTGCCCTACGGCGCAACTGAGTTGAGTCGATGGGACAGTTCTACCCTGGCAGTGAGAATGTGTGACATGTGAGAAAGGGCTGCTCTCAGGAGAAAGAGGCTTTCTACTCTCAGAAACTCTGAATAGGGTCATGGCGCCTGGAGTCTGTTGTTTTTTTTTAACTATATACTTCAGCACAATTGTTATATGAGATAAAGGATTATTGAGGTACTTATTCAAAACCACACTGTCAGTCCAAACAGCTGTCTCCCTCTGATGGTCACCAGGTGGTTTAAGTAGAAACTGCACGTTGGAAATGGGTTTTCCGTGTGGAGACCGGTGGTATTCCAAGGCGTGGATGGGCTGCAGTGTTCTAGAGTTCCTCTTCCTGCATGAAAAGCGCTCAGGATTTACGAGCGCCCTTCAGCTTGGAGAATGCTGGTGGAGGCTGCACTCCTTAACGGTCCTGACGCCAGCCCTTAGGACACAGGGTTCTGATTGCCTGGTGCAAGGCGAACAAGCATGCACGCATTCACACACGCACACATGCTCCCTCCCTCCGTCGGCCAGAAACCCTTGCTCATACTTGTGTTTTGGCATTCACACCAGGAGACGGGAGAATGAGTCAGCAACCCTAGAGCTCAGCTCACTCTGTATTTCCATCGTCCCAGCCCCTGGCCCTAAGGAACACGAGACAAGGAACTACCCCACCTTCCAGAAGCCCCACCATCACATCACACAGCCAGACAATGAGGCTGCTCAACGGAAGGCCACCAGGGCACAGTCTGAGCAGATGCTGCCGCAAGCTCCTGCACTATTAACACGCATCTGGCAGGTCCCAGAAAGGATGTGTCAGGGGCAGCTTTGTGCTAGTGCATCTCTATGCTGTGCTAACTGCGTCTGGGAAATTACAAACGCCAACTTGCCTAGCAAACTTTCAGAACTTTTCATCTCCTTTCCCGAGGGAGCCTGCTCTTTGGTCCTGGAAGATGGGGCGTCTGAAAGCACACAGGATAGCTGTTGTGGTCAAGAATGTATGTATGGTGCTGGACCCTGACTGAGGGGTACTGGGGGGTAGCCATGCCTGCATGTTGTTGCCCTGAGGTTTTCTGGAGTGGGCTCTTCCTCACACACGCGTCCAAGGTCTCCTTTCAGTTCTAGTCTGGACAGGCCTCTGAGCTGAGAGTCAGGGTCCCTCCCTGAATAGAAATGGCCTCTGAAGGTTTCATGGCTTCTGAAGGGAGAGCTACTCGAAGCAATCATGCATCTAGGTGGCACACACCCAAGCCTACCCTTCGTGCACCACAGGCCCAGAGCTGCTGATGCCTCACCGGATGGCCAAAAAGAACGCACAGGCCAGGAAGCGCCCTTATCCACCTTGTTCAACACCCAAAGGGATGTGCACGAGCTGGACTTCCGTCCTCATCTGCCTCCACTTCCTTGGGCTCAAACCCACAAACTGCCAACAGGGAGGGGAAAGGTCCTGCTCATCTCTTGTTCTGTTTAATTGACCACAGAGTCCTTGTACTCAGTCACCCTCTCATGTTTCTCAGGGTGTGTTCCCAGGAGCCCCTGCGGGGCAGGGGGTGGAGGAGGATAAAGCCAGTTCAAAACTGGCTGAGGTTGGGGTGGGGCGGGGTGCTGGGCCACGCCCTTCAAGGCCAGATTCGCAAGTAAGTGCCCGTCGAACAGACGGAGAACAGGGGGAACACAGGTTCAAGAAAGTTGACGCGGAAGGTGTAGATGTGGCGCATGTCCTCTGCAGCATAGAAGGACACGGCCCCCACTTCTAGGTCCAGGGCCACTCGCACACGGGACAGGTGCCCACAGCTAAGCGGCGTCCGTTCAGGGCTGGTCACAGCCCAGTACTGTCCATTGTTGAGCTGCAACGCCCAGACGCCCTCTTCAGGTTTGAAGGGCGTGAGCCCCTTGCGCCGCACACTCTCTCGGGCCACACCAAAGGCCCAGCCCTCCTTGGAGCCCACTTCCACTTCCCAGTGGTGGCGGCCGGAGGAAAAGCTGCAGGACGCTAGCACCCGAGTGTTGGTATCAAAGCGGCTCGGGTGATCAGGCACGTCCTGGGCCCTCTGTCCAAGGCGTACGCTCTTAAGATCTAGAGAGAGGATGAGGCGAGGGTTGGCTGTGTCTGGATCCAAGGTCAGTGCCACTGCAGGGCGGAGAGAGAGATGAGAGGTGAGAGACGTCCCCACGCAGGTCTCTGGCATAGCCCCCCTTTTCTTTGTAAACCCTTCAGCTAGGAAGCCTCCTGCCCACACCCAATAAGTCCTCTGCTCTCTCCCTCCCCACCCTGCCCTCACGGGTGTTCTGACTCCTAGGAGCCCTGCTGGACAGAGAACTGGGCCATAGCATGTCTTCCTGGAAGCAGACAGTCTCATCTTTCCCCCCCAGAGCAGCTGGTGGATTTGAACCACAGACCTTCAGGACAGCAGCCCAACAATGAACCCATTGTACCAGCAGGGCTCCTTCCTGCCTTCCAAGTACAGTTAAGGTCCCCCCACCCCTTAACATGTATGTGTTGAAATCAAACAAATATAATGTATGGACCTGATTGGATCCCATATTGACGTGGCTGTTAGGTGCCATCGAGTCGGTTCCGACTCATAGTGACCCTATGTACGACAGAACAAATAGTAAAAGTTACAATGTGGACACTTGTTTTTCACACTTGTTTTGTTCCAGGCCCTCGTGCGGGCACTGGCATCACCGGTGAGGACAAGACAGGCCAGATTCCCGGCCCTCCTGTAGCTTGCTTTCTAGCAGGGGGAGAGGGAGCACAGCCCAAGAAGAGCTTTTCTTTTCTTTTCCAGGCCTGTCCCAGGCGCTCTTTGGGACGCCGGTTCAGAATATTGCACTGGGTAGACGGCAACAGCTCTAGTGTCTTCGAGATGGTGTTCCACTGCATTTTCAGCTGACATAGTAACTTATCACCCTGGTTTTAAATATGAGAAGAATTCAGACTCACAAATTCCAGGAAAAGACAGAAAAGGTAAGAAATAATTTTAAAAGAATGAAGTATTAGGGACTTTCAAGGGAAGCTGTATATGGACCCATGGTGACTAGTTGGGTTACACACGAGCTACCAATCAGAAGGTCAGTGGTTCAAACCCACCAGTCACTCTGCAGCCTTTAAAAGACGTAAACATATGGAAACCCGAAGAGGCAATTCTTCTGTCTTAAAGGGTCACTATGAGTTAGAATCGGCTAGATGGCGCTGGATTTTCCTGTTTGGTGTGGGAGGCTGTGCAATCTCTACAGAGACTGCAGGTTGGATACTGCAAAGCCGGCACACTGCTTGAGCAGAGGGGAAAAGAAAAGGGGAAATCGGAAAGGCGCACGTGTGGAAGGGCTGAGGGCCATTCAGAGTGTCAAAAGACTTCATAACAATTTTCATAAATAGTTTGAAGCTCTAAATGTTTCTTCTTCAAACTATACACATTTCACAACACATATTAATCTATAGAAATTGACGAGTCTTTCATGTTAAATGCTTCAGAGGTGAGGGTGTTTCCCAGCTTCTTTGTAAGGTCTGACTTCGTTCAAGAGTTTCTGTGCACAGGTGGAGCGGCTGTGCCATCCTGTCATTAGAAACTAATTTTAATACAGCAGTTTGAATTCTGACTTACCCATTTTGAGTTTCAAAACATTTGAATCTCTATTTATTGTACCAATCTCATTACCAGTCAGTTGGTATGATTCATAGTGACCCTAGAGGGCACAGTGGGAGTTCTGAGGCTGTAAATCGTTTGGGGAGCAGGAAGTCTCGTTTTGCCTGGCAGAGCAGCTACTGGGCTCGAATCGCTGACCTTGTGGATAGTAGTCTAAGGCATTTCCCACTGCACTAGCAGGGCTCATTATTTAATGTCCAGTCACTCTTTCTTGTGGCCCCCTTTTAAGATAACACATTGGAACTGCCTCCTATTCAGTTCTTAATAAAGGTGAAGTGATATTTGGGAAAATTCCAAGTTCATGTAATTTGCACTGTTCAAATATATCTTTGGATCATCAAAGGACACCATGTAAAGTATAACTTGACCTAAATATTTAGTACCACACAAACTATTTTAAATAAAGCCTGTGTGTACTTCCTCTATCTCAGGCTAACACTACATTAACATATCCTGATTTTTTTCCTGAGTGAGCAGAGTGAATAGTAATATATGGCATATGTTCTATATCTCAAAAACTAGAGCTGATAGAGAAAAGGCAGCGCCATTTTTTGGAATCAGCTGGTCAAATATACCCAGAAACATCTAAGGCACCAAAATGTGTTGGCCAGTGATAAATGATAAGGACAGTAAGTAAGAGGAATTGCGCTATAGTTTGAACTCCATTGTTTGGGGGAGGACTCACTGACAAGGTACCATTTGATTCTAAAGAACTCCACACACTCTGGATCCATGGAGCTGAGAGGAACCCCTAAAACTATTTCCCTGAGATAATCTTCAGAACCCAAGCCCCAAACTCTCCAGGTATCTCCCGAAGTCTTTTTAAAACCAGTGGGTTGGCACAACTAGTTTTAAAAAGGTCTGCTTGGAACAGTGTGCTCTTTCAAGAACTATCTATATGGGATCCAAGTGCCAACAGCAACTCAAAAGATTAGACAGGACGCTTAGTGAGCAGTAAGTTTATGATAATGAGGAAGGAACAAGTCAGAAAAGAAAAAGGGATGTGACTGGTTGTCCACTGCAAAGAATGTAATTGATGTCACTGAAGTGTCTGTGTAGAAACGGTAGGGTTGGTGTATGCTTTGCACAGAAGAAATGTCTAAAAGAACAGTTGAGGAAAGACATAAAGGAGGTAAGGAAACCCAGGCTGCGGGGAAGCACACTGGCTAACCATAAAACCACATGGTCTCGCGCTGAAAGAGACCTACTGCCATGGACTGGATTCGAGGGGGTAGAACTGCTGTGTGGTTTCTCGAGGCTACAGTCGAGGAAACAGGGTGGCTAGTGGTTTGAACAGCCCAATACTTTCAGCAACCCAATATTTAACTCACTGTCCCACCAGCAGTCCGGGGTTATAGCTCTAACCTGAAACCAACCAATCCCTTGCCATCTTCGGACTCAGGGCCACACCACGTTTCATACAGTGGGATTTCCGCCCCGGGTTTTGTGGGCTAGTATCTGGACCGAAGCAGACCTTTCCTTCCTGGTGCCACGGGGAGCACGCAGCAGCACACCAGCCACCGCAGTACGACAGACTGACAGACAAGTGGTAGGACTTTTAAGTCAGAGGTCAAGAAACTCTAAAGAGCATGAATGTTTCTTAAGCACGAGCCATAGAATATATTTTACATTGTATTCCAAGATCTGCATACTTGGGTCAAAATTCTCAGAAAATACTTTTATGACATGTGATGCACTTTGATGGTTTCTACTTCATTAACAAAAAAATAAAGGTTGAAACATATGTCTGAGGGGGGAGTGTGTGCTTAGTGTATTCTGGGAATAGCAAGGAGGGTGTGTGGCTGTGCAGTAAGCGAGGGGGACAGAGTGGGGGTGAGGCCAGATTTTGAGGGCCGTGGTGAGGACTGTGGCCTTGTACATGATCTGACTTGGTTGGTTTAGATGTCGCCGAGGTAACCTCTGACTTAGCTCAGGCATCAGCACGGAGAGTGCGGGCCCACAGGCTTGGATGTCACTTCAGAGCGCTCTGAGAAAAGAACTGTCTTAGGCCTCCCTGTTTCTCCTGAGCCCTGCACACAAACCTCCGTTCACTGGAGCTGCCTCCAGTATGGGAGTGGGGAGCTCAGAGAGACTCCTCTAGGCAGCTGAGAAGCACGCCCAAGTCTCCATCTAATCCCGTATACCGGCCCACAGGCCCAGGGCCACCTGTGGGTGCCGGAAGTGCTGAGGCACGCAAGGATGTGAGGACAGGGAGCTGAGCGGGAGGGTTCGGAGGCAAGGCTGCCTTGACCACGACAGGAGCCAACTGAATACAAAGCCCAGGGACAGTCGCTGCAGGGAGTGGAGTCTCTGCTTCACCATGTCATCAGCACGCACTTCCACGACAGCCCTCCTTACCTTTCTCTTCTTTCTCCAACTCATCCCGAAGATCCTCTGAAGGGAAGAAACAAAGCAGGGGTGTGCGAACAATATCTATGTTTGGCAAAGATACCACCTTTTCCAATATTTATAACCCAAGTGACTCACTAATTCCCCAAATACCCCAGATTTGCCACTACCGTGTCTCAAAACCAATCTTGCCTTGACCAAGAAAGACAGAGTGCAGATCCCGGAACTGCCAAAACCACACCACCACCACCACCACCACCACCATTCATACAGGATGGCCAAGCGCCACACCCAGGCCCCTACCTTTGAATTTCTTGAGCAACCCCTTTAAAACAAAGGTCTTGAGGGAAACATTCCAGACTTTACTCTTCATCTCAGAGGAAACTGCAGTTGGTTTGGGGCCAGGCACATTGCTGCACCTGCAGGACAAGCACCCTAAGAAAGGCCCAGGGATGCCGTTCCCTCCCCCACTGGGGCCCCACAAATAGGTTGGCAAAGTCCTTTTGTTGTGAAGAGGTGGAAAAGGGAGAGGCCTGCCTCCTATCTGAACAGCCATGGTCAGGCAGGCAAACAATGGCCTAAGAGTGCCCCGAGGTAAGACACCTCTGTGTGTGTGTGTGTGTGTGTGTGTGTGTGTGTCTGGGGAGGCTAGCTGAGGGCTGGGAATGAAGAGAGAATTTAGCAGAAAGAAAGACGAAAAAGCCTAGAAGCTTCGGAAGCTGTTAGGCTCACTCACCTGCTCAGTGTGTTTTTGAACTCCTGGAAGGAAAGATGGAAGAAAACCAAGTCAGCATTGTGTAACTTGCATTCACCTTTAAAACAAAACTGGTCCTTGGGCTGGTCCGCCCTGTCCCACACCCCCCGGGGGCCTCTGGAGGCAACAGCACGCCACTATGGCTTTGCTCCTGCAGTGTCATCAAACCAGTGAGTCCCTTATCTCTGCCCACACGCTGCCACTGTTTGCTTTATTACAGAATCTTCACCTTCTGGGACATAGTGTTACCTCTGCCCTTGAAACCACAAGAGACAAATGACATCCTTATGCAGTGTTGGGGACTACTGTTCTTGACCCAGGACTGGCTTCTGGAATGAATTTAGTAGATTGTGATGACCAGTGTTTTGAAAAATGATGAAGCATAGAGAACATCAAATGTACATCACATGTAGTACAGGTAAAGATGACTTTCTGGGACTTTTGTCTCAAGCATATTTGTTTCAAGCTTTAAAAAGTTTGTGGAAAAATGTCATTCTATTCTAATTCCACTTTCCCACTAACGTTTTGAAATCCTGGAATAATAGTGTCAGGTCCGTTTTATCCCACCCTGGAGGGCTCTAGCCCCGGGAGAAGCAGGGCACCTCTCCTCAGTCCCCTTGGCCCTGGATTGTGTGGTTCCCCTCAAGAGATCAAGCCCAGGTCACGCTGCCTCTCCCCACTTGCCGAGCCAGACTCACCTGGAGAAAGTCAAGGTCGGGCTTGCAAGCCGTCTCCTGGATCTGGCTGCTCAGCTTGGAGAGCTGGGTGATCTCGCCCCCAAGCTGGGCCAGGTTCTCATTCTGCTTCTGTGCCACTTCTCGGGACAGCTCCTCCAGACGGCCTAGGAGCCGGCCCTCCTGCTCCACCAGGAAGGCTCTCAGGGCCTGGAACTCAGCCCCCACCTTTTCTCTCTCGGCTGCCATCTGTTTCTGTCCACAGAAGAGGAAAGGTTGGAGAGGCAAGGACACTTGGGCACTGAAACATGACATGTGAAAGGAGCCTCTGAGTGGTCCCACAGGGCAAGGTCCCATCTCCCTCAGTGCTGCATGGATCAAAGACACACCTACTCTAGTTGAAATATTCCCACTCGGTGCACTAACAGTCTCGGCATGCATCTCCTTGAACTTGGGAATTATCACATAATCTAGGAGAACTTGAGCGTATCCCCGGACTACCTAGGGGTGAAATTTACTCCTTTAAAAAGTAGGAGGAATAAATGAGTATAAGAGGCTAGCTACTATCAGGATTTAAAAGAAGGTAGCTTTTTAATTCCCCAAACATTTCCCCTTCAAATGTTTACTGTATGTTTTACTTCATTTAAAGGTGTGCCTTTAAAAAAAAAAAAAAACATTTATGAAGATACCACATGTTCAGAAAAGTAGAAAGAAGAAAGGTTTGGTGTAGTCAATTTCTTAGGATGGCTAGTCTGGTCATAATCTCTATGAACCTCCACCAAATGATTGGGTGGGACTATGCAAATAAGGTGCTGTGGCCCACCAAACGGATTGGATAACTTCCTAATAATGCAAATAAGATGCAAGGTATCTTTGTGGTGATGGGATCATGTAAATAAAGTGCATGGAACCCTGACAAGGGGATTGGTCAGTTTTGTCATCTGCTAGACTTCAAATGAGCCATCCCAGAGGTGGAAAGAGTAGGTAACCTCACCACCACCTGGAAAAGATGGGAGCAGGCCCTGTCCTTTGGACCAAAGACCCCTGTGCTGGACCCTTCTGACCCAGGAGACAGAAAGATAGCACTGAAGATAGTAAGAAGCAGCAGTACAGAAATGATAGCAACAGAAGCAACAGAACCAGGGCACTGGTAGGAGGAGATGGTGTGGTGGGTTTCCCAGCCCAGAGAGCAAGAAAGCTGAGCACCTTCCAGCAGGCCCAGTGAGGGGCCTCCGGGCACTTGGGGGAGCTAGGCTCCCAGACTGAGATCCATGGCAGGGGAGATGTGTGTGGCTGGGGTTAAAGCACAAAGAGAAGGCAGTTACTTCGGGCAGGAGGCTTGCAGGTAGAGTGGGATGCCTCTGGGCAATTGTTAGTAGAGCTGGCCTCTGGGTACTTGTTGACGGAGCTAGAGAGCTTTATAACACTGGCCAAAGCAGGGCAGAACAGTGGACAGAGGGAGCCAACCTGGGCATCGCTGAAAAGAAGCTGTCCTGGTGGAAGAACTGTATCATGAGTTGTTTCTGATCCTCACTTGTAACCTGTAACGTCCCTAATAAACTAGATAATGACTTCCTAATAGAGAGTACTTTCTGTGATTTCTGAATGACCAGAGCAATGAACTATGGAACCCAGAAGAGGAGGAGGAAGTGCTGTGGAAGGGATGGATTTTTAAATCAGAATTGATTAAAAAAACAAAACTGGAGGGTGGAAGGAAGCATGTCTGACTTCCTCCTCACAGAAATCAGTGTCGGGCTGATGCCGATGGTGAATCTCCCCTCCATGAAGTCGGACCCCTCACCCCCACCCCGGACATCATTCTTCCTAAAGGGAAACACTGCTGGTACTCAGAGGTAACCGCACACCCAAAGTGACCCAGGTGAGAATATATTTGCCTGGAGGAGGGGAAAACTGCAAAGTTTAGAGCTAGTTATCACGTTTCCAGGGCACAGAGGCCTCCACAAGGTCACCCTCATTTGTAACTACTAACAACTACCCATACCTTTCTGCACCTCATCCCGAAGACACCAAACGCAGATCTAGGTGGTCCCCCAAATCACTCTTCGATTTAGTCATTCACCAGACAGACTCCCTGAAAGTTAGTCTACTTCTCCTCCCCACTCCCTCCTCACTGCCATTGAGGGGATGCCCGCTCATAGTGAGCCTGACGAACAGTAGAATTGTCCTGTGAGCTTACGAGACTGTAACTCTTTACCGGAGTAGAAAGGCCTGTCTTTCTCCTGCAGAGGCTCGGGGTTCCAAACTGCTGACCTTGCAGTTAGCACGGCAACGTGGAACCACCCTGCCGCCAGGGCTCCTCCTGCTACTCAGTCACAGAGTATCAGAGAGAACAGATATACATTTAAACCAGACACACACAAAGCTTCCATTGTCCTTTGCTTTGGAGTCAGAACACGTGACCTTCCAGGGACTGCTGCATGATAAGATGCATAAACTGTTGCCAAGCAGCGAAGTTCACCCCAGCTTGTGTCCAGAGTTTTGATTAGACTTTCATTATGTAGGGATGACTGACTGATTGCCCGTGTGGTTAAACACAGTGACCAGGTCAATTGATACTATGTGACCTGAGGTTCTCTCCTGTTTGGCCTTTCTGCCGTGGCCAGCACTGCACCCTAAGACCTGGCTCCAAAGACAGATATTCCTACCAGGTTTGGCATAGGTTACCCCCAGAAACTGCGGTCTCAGGTCAGATCTCTCTCTTTGGGCAAGGCCAAATTCTGTACTAACGATGCTGTTTGCAAGCTTTATATCCCATGAAGCCCTCACTTCAAAAGTGCATGGCAAAATGCATGATCGTTCATTTCTATTTGCCACCTACTTTTTAAAGCCACCTCATAGTATTTCCATTCGTACCACATGCCCTCCTTGGTTTTTAAACAGACTCGCACTCCTGATCCTTCCTTTATTCTTGACTTGAATCCACGTGACATACACATGATTTAAGAAGTAAATCTGAGGCCGGAGGAAACCTGCCCAGTAGCTAGTGAGAAGGACTTGGTCTGACCAGAACAACCTTAACGCCTCTTCCCTGGAAAATCTAGGTAAAAGAAAATGTGGCTGAAAGAGGAGGCAGTCGGGGAATCGCTTTAAGTCAGGACCTGTGGGGGCAAGCTCCACCGACTTCTTGCTAATGGCTTTGCCTTCCCTCCCTCATCCTGTCGGGAAAGCAAACGACAGCAACAAGTATTTGCGGAATACTTACATAACCCTGTGGCAAGGCCCGTTCTGGCAGCTGATCGAAATTAAGTCACACTCACTCAACCCTGACAGGGACCCGATGAGGTGAGTACCGTTACCATCTCTTCTGAAGATAAAAATGTATTGTGTGCTTATCCCGTTTTAATGAGGAGGAAATCGCGGTGGAGAGACATCTTGTGGATAAGTGGTAAGCCATTCTAACTCAGAGAGTCTACCCCCAGACTTTATACCTTTCAATTGCATCATATTGCCTCATCAGGAAATAATACATGTGAAATACATTGGCCCAAATAGTCTAAATCATAGTTTGTCAACACCAGCACTGCTGATACTTGGGAGTCACATAATTGTTTGTTGTGAGGGGCTGTACATTATACGGTGTGTAGCAATATCTACCTCAAAATGTCCATCCAGTGTGGACAACCAAAAATCTTCAGATATTGGCAAATGTCCCTGTGGTGCCAAACGACCCCTCGTTGAGAACCACTTTCCCGTACAGTAAGAACGTTTTCAATAATGGTTATACTCTATTTCTGTTGCTTCATGAAGCAGACATTTGGTAATTATAAACAACATGCGAGCCAGAAACAAAGGGAGACAAGTGGCTGGCAAGAGACGAGAAAAGTGGAAGGTGCTAAATAAGAGTCACAGGCAGGGAGGGGTCCAGAGTCTGAGAAGCTGCCAGCTGTAGGAATGCTCTCTGGGTCACAATAACCAGAAGACAAAACAATAAACCTCACTGCCATGGAGTCTTAATACTCAGTAGGGCCCGTAGACGCCTTCATATCTCTTTCCTGTGGAGGGGCTAGCCATTGTCAACTGTTGGCCCTGTGGCTAGCCACCCAACACTCAGCAGCGACAAGAACCAAAAAGAGACACAATTATTCTTTCTCCACGCCGAGGTCCGATGGAGGTCAGGAGGGGTGAGCCATTGCTCATGCGAGAAGTCAATGATCAGATAAGAAGAAAGAGTGTGACAGATGAACTTGTAAGTCAAGAAAGGACCATAAGACATCTCAACTCAAAGGTCTTTCCCTTCTGCCCTCCTCCCCCTGAGAAAGGGAGGAGCCCCAAGTCCCTCTTCTAGTTCCCAACAGGCCCTTGTGGGTCCTTTCATTATTTCAATTTTTTTTTAGCCTAAGAACTGAATTTGAGAGCTTACCATGGCTCCCCAAACCTCTGATATGCCCCAAGAGCTTTTCCCCTTAGCCTCAATTCCAAAGCATAAAAAAGTCGGAAAATGAAAAAAGAAAGTTTAACTTATCAGGTGGCAAAATGTGCCCTGAACTGACGTGACACTATTGATTTTACTTATGTTCCCTCCTAGTATCCATTTAAATTCCTCTGCAGAAATATCAGTGTGTTCAATCACAAGATGCTACCCCAGAGAATAAAAATACCCTCTGACCTGGCAATTCCTCCACTTGATACATTTCCCAAAGAAGTAGGAAACAGAGCTATGCACACCCCTTGCAGCAGGATTCACAATAGCAAGAAGATGGCAGCAACCAAAAATGCCCATCAGCGGCAGAATGGAGAAACATTGGCGCATGCACACAGTGGAATCCTACATACCATTAAAGAATAGGGAAGAGGCGGTGAAACACCTCGTGACACGATGGATTTGGAAGACTGAGTCAATTGAGTCACTCCCAAAATGACAAACAGTGTATGAAACCATGGTTCTAAAATGAAAACGGCAGATAAAGGGTCTTCATAGCAAAAGAAACAGACTGATGGTTGGGGGATTGGGGTTGGGGGCAGAGTAGGGGAGGGGAGGGAAGCAACAGACAGGAGGGTAGACCAGCGTCAGGTGAGGTCACATACTCTTCTACAAGAGGAAGAAAGCAGCTCCAAGCCACACCCTGGAGCAGCGTACCCACAGTCAGGGACGGCAGGTGTCCCTGCAGTTGTCTCCCACAGGCCCGGCCACTCACCAGGAGCTCCCTGCTTTCTTTCTCCTCGGTGGACCGGAACAACTCATGGTCCTCCAGCTCCTTCTTCAAGACTTTCAGTCTGGATTCCAGGAGCTCCTGTGTAATGGGGGAGGGGAGGTGTGGTGGGGAGAGGTTGCTGGAAACCCCGTGTGCACCTTCCGGGGAGACATCCAGCAGAAACGGAAGGCCTAGTTCATTGGGCAGGAGGCGGCCAGGAAGAGCCACCTGTGGACATCAGGATGGACGCAACAGGCACAGGCTGGGCACTGGGCTAGTGGATGGCTGCAGGGTGACTCCAGAGGCCCCAGAGTCTCACTTCCCCAAGA